TATACAGCTCAACATCTGATTCCCTGTTGCATACCCTGGTGGTGAAGATGTACGCAGTGTTTTGATAATGTATCACACACAGTACCTGCAATCCATGCTGCTCTCTGAGAAGGTGCCTCAGTGTTCGGTTTGTGGCCTCAAATGTCTCCAGTTTCTGAAGCAACAGCTCTTTCTGACGGGCCAAGAGTAAAGACTCGGTGCCAGACAGCTTCTTTACCGGGACACAGAAGGAGATAGAAGAACAAAGGTCTGAGTACAGACAAATCACTGAATTGCATCATATAACACTGTATAACGTTAATTAAAAAGCAACATGTTTTTTAAAGTTCACATGTTTCTAAAGTGCACTGAATCTTAGAGGGCACAGAAATAGAACTATGCTGAGTTAATACTCACAGCACTACCAACATTGCACAGTTTGGACACAGACTCTCGCAGGTCTGACACCTGCTTGGCAGCTGCTGCTCCGTCCACCTCAGCCTCCATCAGTTTCCTGAGCAGAGCATCTCTGTCCTGTTGCATGCTGTCCCTGTCTTGTCTGCAAAGACAAGACACAAACAAAATGCCTTTGAACAGAAATTATGTTTGATCATTTTTAATACAGGATTTCCTCTATGTGACTCTGAGACACCGACACAGAAATGAAAACCAGACGGACATTCTGAATTTCCATCCATCCATCATCTATACACTGATTTATCCTCTGCAGGGTCTGGGGGGCTGGAGTCTCTCCCAGCTGACTCAGGGTGAAAGCACGATACATCCTGGATGGGTCACCAGTTCATAACAGGGCAACAGAGAGACACAAACAACCAAGCACACTCACATTCACACCGATTTAGAATCACCAATTAACCTCAGCATGTTTTGGGACACCCGGTGAAAAACCATGCAGGCACAGGGAGAACATGCAAACTCTACACAAGAAGAGCCGAGATTTAAATCCTTCTAGCTGAGAGGTGACAGTACATTCTAAATCCAAATTCCTCAATCTACACTCACCACTAAATCTGACTTAAAGATCAGTGCTGTATTCACTTGGTGTCTCAGACTAGGACATCACATCCAACTGGCCAAGAATTCTAACAGTGGCAAACATGTAAAGCAATATGTAGCAAGAATGCTTGACTCAGTGACAATGAGCTGATATTTACTGACAAATACACAAAAATCTGGCTGCTGTTTGTGCACTTGCAACAACAACAACAACAGTTTCACCGGGTATAAATCTCCTCATGTCCCTTCTCACAGGCCAACAGCTTGGTGCTTCACTCAATCACTATAGGCAAAATCTAATAGTAAGCTTGTGTAATTTGCCAAATTATGTTGACTCTATCCATCTATTCATGATAAGCTAACAGCAGATGTAGCTGTAAAATAGTCATTTGTCCTTTAAACTGCACGTTATGCAGCTAAAGTCTAAGCTATTTCCCAAGAGAGGGTGTTTCTCGTGTACAACACTATGAAATAGTTTGATATCATATTTGCCTGTTACAGTCTGTCTCCTCCAGCATCTTTTCCATGGACTGGCGTAATCGTGTGTTCTCCCGCTCTGTCTCTTCCAGCTCCTTGGTCACCTCAGCCAGCTCCTCCTCCTGCTCGGCGATCACCCGCTGGGAAACACACAGTTGCTCTGACTGGCGCTCTAGCAGCTGTTCCTTCTTTCGCAGTTCCACCTGAAAATATATAGTGCATATGTGCAAATGTACACGTGAACAGACACACAAACAAACAGACAACAAACCCATTTTTAGATTTCATACATGACTTGGTTTCACTATATATTTGTCAGCTTTTGTACTCATATACAGCCACACTCAGTTTCACATACTGCAACAAAATCTTGCTCGATCCCTCATTTGAGACTTCATTTGTGTGTTTTCGCTGTCTGGGTTACCACTCCACTCCACTTAGACGGGTATGTGACACTGAAAGTGTCACAAAATCACACATTGGGATACATTATTTGAAATAATAATAAAAACATAAGCCAAATGATCTAATAAGTATAACAATATATGTCAAACCTGCCTGTGGCTTTTGGTCTAATAGTGGCCTGATAAAGAGTGGGATTTGTGAGACGGAGACAAGCTAAGTCCAAAGTGAAAAAAGGGGAGAAACTAACCTCATTTTTCAGAGAGCTTACTTCAGTCAGTAAGCTGTCAATCTTCCTCTCATACTGGCTGATTCGTCCGTGTAAGCCTTCCTCTTCCTCTGACGTAAGGTCAGCCAATCGCAGGGCAGACTGGGACTGCTCAGGTTCCGTTTCAGGCAGTGGTGGGATAATCTCAAGACAGTGCGTCGGTCCCTTGATGCAAAACACACTCTCAGTAGCACTACATCCTTAACTTGATGAATTCTTTCACATTTCTGAGGCAAAAACTGTCTTTTAAAAATCGGCAATAGATGGGAATGGGGCATAATTTTCCTTTAAGACATGTTACCTCCCACTTGTATGATGCATCCCGTGTGGAGGTCTTTCCTGGTGGTTTCCATGGCACAGACGTTTTGACCTTAGCTGTTGGACGAAGATTTCCTCTGTCGTCTTTGGTTTTCCCCTTTTAAACACATTTTGTGTACAGCAGCATGTCATTGCTGTGTGTCAGGCCTTTTTATGCTGCAGAATAGCTACACTATGAATAAATTAAACCCTTAATGTCCTAAGAATTACGACTGAAACCGACGACTATTTGAATGGGTGACCAGTCCATTATTTCCTTGAATAAATGATTTGTTGTTTGGTCTATAAAATGCCAGAAAACTGATGAAACTGATGAAAATATGACAAATTTTCCAAAGATATTCAGTTTAGATTCAGTTCAGATATTCAGGGAAAAAAACACACTGTATTCACATTTAAGTAGCTGGGATCAGAGAATTTGGACTTTTTCTCTTTGACAAACAGCTCCACTATAAATAAAACGAGCAGAATGAGATTTCAAAACTCATAAGCAAGAAATAAGAAAAAAAAAAAGATAACATCAAGGAGACACACAACTTTAAAAGTACTTTACATTCACAACAAAAATCACTGAAAACACTAAAATTGAAACACATTACTGGCAAACAAAGCTGGTCTCTAACCTTGGATGTCCTGACAGGATTTGTTCCCTGGCTCTTCACATGTACATGTACAGGTGTGGTGTCATTGACGTGCACATGAATTGGAGGAGAACCTGATCGGGTTCTCATTGCTTTCCTCTGTGAAACAGTGAATGATTACAACCAATCAATGCAGGCGTCCACATCAAAACTTATAACAGAAAATGGTTTTTAAGCTGAAGATATGAGTGATGAGGAAAAGAACAGTCAGGAATGTGTGCGAGCACAAGGAAAAGAATTCCACATAAAATACAGGAAATTTGAGTATCATTTGATTGCCTAAGTTTTGACCGTTTTCCTATGAGGTGGTTATGAAGTTATTATTGCATTTCAATATATTTAGTAGTACTGGGGTTGCATCTGCTCAGATAATGGTGCAATTCCTGTTTCGTTAAAAGGGGCTAAAGATTAATGCTTAGAATCTGACAGGCAAAACCAGTAAGTATGGCTGAAAAATGTTTAAGTTTAATTGCATTTGTATGCTTTAACGTATTTGATCTTCCTGAAGAAGAATATTCTGTCATATATTTATGAAAAACCACAACCAAAAAACAACGGAATACACTTACAGAATCAGTTTCTGCATTAAAATATAACTCAGTTAGGTTTCTGAAATCTACACAAATGATCACAACTAGAGATTCCGACTTGAACACATGAACTGGCAACGATTTATAAAGAAACTGGTTTCAGATGGATATAGCAGGTGGAATCAAAAGGCAACTCAGCTTAGCAAGAAGCATACAGTATAGTCGCCTGTCATTAGCCTTAGCTTATTAGCAAAACCTGACAGCAGCATTTCAGTCCCTGTGCAATTAATGAACAAATTCTCCATCTTACCATAAGAGAAACCAATAAAAACTCTTCAGCGTCTAAAAATGTAGTTCATTAGCAGGACAGCGTTTGTGGTTTAACAAGCAAAATAAGCAGGTTAGCATAAAAAAGTCTGCTGGAGTGGAAACTTCAACAGGTAGTGAAGCTAGCTCTCTCGCTGATTGGTCCGTTTAAAGCATGTGACATCTTTGTCCAACAGTGATTGGACCAGAGTGGGACGTTCAAACGTTCCTTAGCAACGCACTCGACTCAACAAGCTCGTGTGCTTTATAGACATACCCCGGAACAGTCACCACTAGTAAAGCTGATTCAATCAACTTTAATCCATTTAATTTATTTTACCCACTGCTACCACAAGCTGCCAGTACAGACCTAAACAATAATGTGGACAGACGTCAGAGGAATTGAATTAAATGTAGTTATGTAGTATGCCAATGCAAACACTGGAGGGCGCTGAAGGAACATGAAGTCACAGTTGGTGGTCTCGTGCTGTCAGCTCACCGTAGTCCAAGTTACCATGGTGGTGACAGCTGCATTGACATTTAATCCTTTTATGTGCGATGCCCAATACAAAGGACAACTATTCAAACTTCAAATAAAACCACTTTACTCACAATAATAGTGCCAGTTCACAACACGTCATCTCACAGCACTTCACACAGTAAGGTGAAGACCGTAGGAATTATAAACAGAGAACCCAATAATCCAAAGTTGCCTTTTGACTCCCTTTAAGAAAGCAGTCAGTGATGGTGGGGAGGAACCAAAAAAACAGAACAGAGAATATTTTTGGAGGTCAGTGAGGCCAGCGGCTGCAGATCAGACTTGAAGCTTCAGATCCAGAGACGTCTGCAGAGAGAACAAACACAGGACCTCGGGGGAAACACAGAGTTCGTGACATGTAATGGTGATATATAAATGTATGGAAGAAAGAGGGAGTTTTGTCTATAAAAAAACCCCCAGCATGAGTCATTTTATCATATCATATTTTGAAATATAAATAACATTTCAGATTGTGCAAACTGCAGAGTGGACTAATGTAAGTAATAAAATGCAAAGGTTCCATCTCTATAAGTAAAATGTTACCTGTAAGCTGTGCTTTCCAAAATGGACGTCAGTTCCAGTTTTATTCCTGTTTATTTTCTGACAGTGATAAAAAAATGTTTACAGTTATAAAAACTAACAAAAATATTTAATTCATAAAAATCTTAAAATAAAGCCACCAAAACTAAAACAAAAATTTCAGGGAGACCTTTTTATCGCAGGGTTGTTATATGATCTACGGTACAGTGTATACAGTGAACAAACTTTATCTGATAGCAATAAAACGGAATAACAACATCCCAACAGAATAATATGCATCATTAATATCTGTATTATTATTATTATTGCTTTAGGGCTGTGATCACACTGTGGTCTAACACCAACCATGTTCCATACTAACAAACTAAATAGAAAGGGAGCAGTGTAAAGAACAGGTGTATCTTCACCTGGGTCGTATCCATGCATCATGTGGCCGTACAGCAGTGGAGCTGTAGGACATGAGATTCACAGACTGTTCTTCAAAACCATCATTGATTCTAACTGCTGAATTAACGTTTTCTATATAAAACAAAATAAAGAAATCTGAGTAAACTAGTTGACTAATTAATTGGTATGAGTTCAAAGACATTCAAAGATGTGGCTCAAATACTTTCTCTTTAACATGATTGCTTTTCTAAACATGCATAGGACCAGCCTCTATGCTTCAATGTTTTGGACACTTATGAAGTTGAACATGTTGTTCCGCTCCCAGTCTTTTCTTCATCTTTGCCGTTATTTGAAACTATCTGCGACAAAGTAGTGCATTTAAACATCCTTCCCAGCCCCAGTAAAGACACAGATCAGTCCTTTAATGAAGCCAAATGTTCTTTTCTTTATTGGCTCCATCTGACAACACACCGAAAAAAAAAGCCCCCATCTGATACAATAATTGATTTCAATCATTGCTAAGATGGGAAAGTGATAATACACCAGTCTTTGGCACTTTCTATTCTAAACAAACATGCTGCTTACAGAGATAATCATTTGTTCATTTCTTTTTTCTTTTTTTTTTTTAAACTGAAATATTGAAAATACATTTGACAGTTTGACACTGAATGATAATCACAACAAGCAAGTCACACATGTTGCTATAAAGGAGGGCTGCACCCATCTTTTGGACATTTTTACAAGTATAAAAATGTAAAAAGAAACCCTGCATATCGGGGGAAGAAAACAGGATTGATCAGTCGGCAGTTATTTGTGATGTGTTCCCAAGAGGCATGGTCTGCATTCTCTGTGGTAGTGGGTCCTTTACATGAAGCAGCAGCCTTTGTGCTTGTGCACCCATGTCAAAAATAAGGTTATTTCTTGTGCTCTGGTGGATTCTAATACTGGTTATGCAGGGCGAGCACTGATTTACCCCTACGGCTGGTCTTGAAAAATCCGTGTTGGGCTCTCTGCTTCTTATATGCATCTCATTGTATGAACGTTGGAAGTACAAAATGGCAGCTTTAGTTAAAAAAAAAAAAAAAAGATTGTGTGACACTGCAACAGAACTCTAACATTTGCTGGTTATGTTTAATGTAGGTGAAACATTAGATTTTCATACCTCAAATTCAGCAAGATTTTTTTTCTAATAAGGCAAAATCGGGCTACTACACATTTAACACTTGACATATCCTTGAACAGCGGACAGCTTGTAAACGTTGTATCGTAGGTATAGTAAAGGCAATGGCAGCAAAGGAGAGAGGAAAGCCGTAAGTAGGGTTTTTGTCTTGTGTGTGTGTGTGTGTCAGTGTCCACCCTGCATAAGGCTTTACAATCCTGTATGAATACATAACAGCATCAACTCTGACAACTTATAGTCACTTCAGACTATCCACAAGATGTGCTCAAGCTTGTGTGTACAACTTTACACAACTTGTTTTGTTTTCACAAGCTACAGTGAGCACACCCCTGTTCAATATTACTTATACGTCTAATTATTCCACAGTGTATCACCTCATAGTAATTGCGTTAGTTCTTAGCTGAACAGTAGGCATTTGCTCTAATTTAAAGTTGACACTATTATTATTGTATTAAAAATACAGGTCCCACAGGAGGAACTGGGTGCAATCTCATTACTGAGATTCAGATCGTTTTCAGCACTTTGTATGTCCATCTGTGCTTCTGATGACAGACTCAGTCCACCTCACCAGTGTACAGCACGCATTTAATTCCTGATTACTGTTGCAACCATGTTTTTTTTTATGGTCAGTGATCTTGTATCTTCCTCTAAGTTTTACAATCAGATTTTCTGCTCATTTTATAACCATGCAACAGCTGACTGGAAATTACAGGTGGACTCAATTTCATGTCACAGATTGTCTAACTTGTGATCAGTGTTGCATTGAGCTGCTACTATAATGCTTTCTAAAGTAGTTGCTTTTGTTGTTTATATAAGACAACACCGTTCAACTTGCAATCATTAGGAGGTGATACAATTTCAAATAATTTGACATTTAATTGATCAAACTTCACAGGGGTGTCCTCACGTCTGGTATATGTCGTTGACAAAGCGTATCCTTTTTGCACAAGTTAACATCTTGTTCAAAAATTATTACTATGTTAATATCTTGTTCACACAGATTAACATTTCATTTGCACTTATCTTAATTGCACAGGCAATAGTTTGATTGTACCATAAACTATGTTCTTTCTTTCCCCCAAAATGTACATCCTGTTTGCAGAGGCCATCTCACATATACAAGTGATCTGGTTCGTAAAAGTTATTTTGTTTAAACAAGCTGATATTTTGTTCACACAACTTAGTTTGTTGCACAATTTACTTATTGTCTTGTTCTTACATGCACATGTTTCTATCCTGTTCACACAAGCTAATATTCTGTTAACATCCTATTCTCACAAGCTATCTTGTTCACACAGATTGATATCTTGCTCATGTGAGTCGTTTTTCTAATATCTTGCTTGCACAAGCTATTTTATTTATACAAGTTAAAGTTAATATGACTTTTACACAAGCTATTTCCTTGTGTGCACAACTTAACATGTTACACTGTATAAAAATGTGCACACAAGATTCATCACCAGGACCTTTGCACTAAAAAGAACTTTCGGCTTCCAGGACTTTGGGGGCTGTCTAACAGGCTACTCTAATACACCCATCAAATGATGTGATGCAGGACAGGCCATTTGCATCATACAGAATAAATTCATGCTATTGCACCATGCTCCATATGCTGCTGGGTAGCTTATGTAAAAATAAAAACATGAAGTAAGAAACTAATAATCACTCATATGATGCATAATCTCGTTTCAAGAAGTGTTAGGCTGTAACAAAAGTACAACTTATAACAAATAGTTGCCTGTACTTATGATCCCACTGGTGCTACATCATAAATTAACTGGTTGGGTTAATGGCGGTGTTTTAAATGTGAAGCACAGAAACATCAATACAGCAAATACATCTTAACAGAAGCTTAAAAAAAAGAAAAGAAAAGAAAAAAAGCATATATATATGATCAGAGAACAGTGGCCCCTCACTGTTTAGGGTTATCTCCCACTAGATAATGCTCATTTTCTGTAATGATGTTATATCTTTTGTGTATTTTCAGATCTGGGAACACACCATACAATAACATGTTATAACACACATGACTTTTTTTTGGAGGTAACAAACTTATCAACATGCAATGTCTGATGATTTAAATTTCTTTCTTCTGCCCTGGTTGATATCCAAACAGGTTTTTTTTGTTTTGTTTTGTTTTAGTTGTTGAAATGGTATAAAAAACAAAACAAAAACATGAATTGTGTTACAATCCCTGCTCACAGCGTCATCCGAGAGCACTGCTGTCTAAGAGACAAGGATTTCTAATTCTTTCACACATGTAAATACACGTTATTGCTGCCTACTCAACCCTTTTACAGAATACAACCAACATGCTTGACACATTCCAGGCAGAAGCAGTTTAAAAAGAAAGCACTGCAGATGAAAGGTTCCTATAGGAAAAGGTTTGAAATCACTGACCCACACTGCTTTATAAGG